GTGCAGGGCGGGTGAATACGGGTTTAAATCCTATGTGGGGCGGAGCGGGGCGGGGCGAGTTGAAATTACGCAGGTTCAGACACAATATGCCCCGCACCCGCACCGCCTGCCATTCCTACTGTTATCATAATCAAAATGACTTACCGTTTCCTTCCCTATTCGGAGTTTGGTATTGTACCGATTGTATATGTCATAGTTGGTGGGAATTCTTATAGACTTTCCTTCAAGCTTCTGATAGCTTTGAAGCTCATTTCATTAAGATTGTTAGCAAAGGAAACTACTGGCGAATTATTAGGAGCTTGAGGTAACAACATCTTCTCTGGATTCGATCAATAAATTTTCGGAGTAACTCATTATCTCCTTGCTGGATTTTAAAGATATTCTCTAACTGTTTTTCAACTTTTTGTGCTCTAGTGCGTACCTTAGACAAAGGCTTCTAATTTAATTTTTGGGAAATAAGGAATACCAAGTTAATGTTCATTTTATGAGTGTTTTTTCGAATTTCTTTACGAGCACTAATTCTATCCCTAGTATCGTCAAGTTGTTTCCTTTGATTTTGGTTGTACATGTTATGACGTGGTCCCGGAAATATGATGTCCCATCATACTTCTAGAATATTCGGCATCTTAAGTTTCTTTGGAATCGGTAATGGAGTTGCACTTGCTTTCGGACACTATTGGGAGTATTTATCTGTATCAATCCCTTTGAATACGGAAAGGATTCCATGGATTTACTCCATATATTCGCCGTGCTTGAGTTATTTCTGCAAGGTTAGAACTAGATTTTACAAATCTGAATTATTAGGCGTATCTGAACCTCCTATTCCAGCATCATTTGGAAGTCTCCGATATCAGAATTTCAAGCGTAGTAGTGAGCTAAATGTTGGTGAACTAGCACTTACAGTTGTTGCTAAATTAATTATGGCTTCATTAATTTGTTGGCTCCATGCCCTTTGAGCGAATATGAACTCCGCAATTTCTAACTTTTCGGATGTTTGTCTCACCAATCGTTGAGGTGATGATCCCCTTGAAAATCATGGAGGAGAGTTTCTCGGATTGGAAATTGGGCACTGTCGTTTTAATTATGCGCAATGGAATCATATGTCATTTGATTATTTTCATTTGTGTTGATTGAAAAATCTTCGGTCGTGTTGCTAGTTTAAACTGAATGAGAACAAAGGATTGTTAGTATATTAGGATGAATAACGAAATTGCTTTAGCTCGGTGGGCGCCAAATTATTTAACTCAAAATTTAATTATTAGGCATAAATAATTAAATTTATTTTGTGGGCTAAAAAATAGTTGAATAGTTATGATTAAGTATGAAATAAAATAATGAATTATATAACAAAAGGGGAAAGAGATGTTATTTGATGGTAGCTTAGGACTTGAATGCTCGTAGCATTATGGAGAGTTTGTATGACTACCAAAAGTAATAGAAAATTAATAGAGCTTCTAATGTCGATAATGATTCTAATGATTGCAGATTGTTTTCTCAAATGGACAAATGTTAGCTTTTATGATGGTAAACCCGGGTTACGTAATAAAAAATTAATAAAGCTTCTAATGTCGATAATGAATCTAATGATTGCAGATTGTTTTCTCAAATGGACAAATGTTAGCTTTTATGATGGTAAACTCGGGTTACCGTTTCCTTGATTCATGCTGCTGTTACACTCATTCAATCTGTCCATTTAAATAATTTATAACGATTGATTTAACGAAGGATCTTGTAATAGTAGAGTAAATGATGAATTAATCTCGGATCCTTCGGCATCTGTTGATCTGCTATCCTTCTTATCCGTGAACTCCCCAATCATTTATGAATTCTCCAAACATTAGACTACCTTTTCCGAGTAATAGAATTGATCTTCCAAGAGTCTTTTATCTATCTTTGATTTTCTGACCTTCCGATTTACACTCTTGGCACTGGTCAATTCTTGTTATTTGCCCTCTTCTAAATGGTACACGTGTTAGTGCGTTTTTTACCAATACAGATAGCTTCGAATATTTTTTTCTAGAAATTTTAGGAGAGGAAGATTTTTGGCAGGCAGAATATCATAATTAAGATTCTTAATTAGCGGGAAATAGGATAAGATTCTTAATTAGCGGGAAATAGGATCTTATCCGATTTCTGCATCCTAAATTTGAAATAACAAAGACCGTTATTAAGATAATGCGTGCAACTTTCATTTAATATTTGAGACATGTATCTCATTTGATATATGAGACACGTGGAGACAGTAATCAAACTCTCCCTTATATATAGTACTAGTTGGGTCAGCCCGGGCTGTGCCCGAGCCCAATCACCACAGCTAATTTCAAATGTTTAAGAAATTGTCTATGATGATTTTCTAAATGTTTATACAATCAAACACTAAACAGAACTAATAGGAAGGAAGGTCTACTTAGAGGGTGTTTGGCTAAGCTTATAAGCTAGTCAAAGTAGCTTATAAGCACTTTTCGGCTTATCTACGCGTTTGGTAAAATTAAAAGTGCTTATAAGCCAAGTGCTTATAAGTTAAAAATAAGCCAAAAGCCATAAGCTGGTCACCCCCAGCTTATAAATTTTTAGCTTATAAGCACTTTAAGTTTGACCAAAATTTTTACTATTTTATTCTTAAATATTCTTTTTTAGAACAAAACTCTTGCATCAATACTCACTGCCTCAAGTACTATCTCAACCTAACCCCCTCCCTCCGCCTCTTCAAGTCTGCAATGCTCATTGACTATTTAAGATAAGCAAATTCTCTATTCCTTTGCATATTTATATCTATGTGATTGTGTATTAATCTTTGAACTATATATAATAAATGAGGACATGTCAAATATTTTGTTATGTTGCTTTCTAAGTGTTGTGCTGATAAAGACAGTATTTGTTTCTCTTCAAATATTTTGTCCTATTTAGGTTTATTTTTTACTGAGAAACTTTTATCAATTTATTAATTATTATAACTTATAATTATATGCTTATCATAAAATAAATTATATTTATCATAAAATTTATCTTATCTAAGCACAGTTGTATATAAAATAAAATGACAAATAAAATATTTTGTATTTGGATCGATTTGGAATCTAAAATTTTGAAGATATTACGCCCTTATAGGTGTAAACACTTATAAGGTTATTTAAGTCATTTTAACAGAAAAAAACTTATCAGCACTTTTTTATCAAATATTGTAGCAGCTTATTATTAATTTCAGCACTTGTATCCAAACGCGTAACTGCTTATTTATTAAATCAGTTTCAGCACTTAAAAGTACTTTTCAGCACCTAATGCTTATCAGCTACTTCAAATCAGCTAATCCAAACGGACTCTTATAATTGGAGTAAACTATATATGCCATAGCAAAACCAAGATGTAAAATATTTAATCTTGTGCATATAGAGAAATCACAAGGAGTAGTTTCATTGAGCAGAATTTTATTACTAACATATATATATACAGAATCATGGTAATGATAGTAAATGTATATACATGCAATGTATTCCATCATATCCAAAGATGCAGAAATTCGATTTCAGTAGTTGAGTTGCTCTGTCAGATCTCATAGTACTAAGGCCAATGAAACCAATTTTCTTTAACTTGATTGGTCAGTTCCTCAAGTTGTAACTTTAAGTTGATTCCATTAGCTATATGTACTTAAGTAAACTTTTTCAAACCCGTAGCACACCATGATACCCGTGGTAGACACTGCAAAAGCATTTTTTTTGCGCAAATATGCATGATGAAGCAATCACATCAAATGTTTGGTAAAAAAATACATAATACCTACAAGAGTCAATTTGTACATCTTGATCATTACATAATTATAGACGTATCACCATAAATTGCAGAAGAGATCTCCTCATCACTGTTAGCTACAGCATTGCCACGCCCATCATACGCCAGCCTCCTGTTCTTTATCATCAGAGGACAACCGAACAGATCCCCTGCTCGTTTAGCACTTTCAAGATTATTAATTTGCTTTAAGCATATATTTCCATCAATGGTAAGAAAAATATTGAAAATGTTTTAGAAGGGGTATGGTCTACGTACACACTACCCTCCCTAGACCCCACAGTGTGGGATAATATTGGGTATGTTATTGTTGTTCTATTAGAAGGAGAAGAAAATTTAGTACAACAGTTTTATAAGCCCACCTGCATAATCTAGGAAGTGTAATTGCATGTTGAGAAAAGTAGATCTTCTGAAGATATTTATCCTGTTACAAAATACAATAATTGAACCAAACAAAGATTGATAATCCTAGGAGTAAGAAAACTGAATAGTTATAAAGTAAAAACACTGCAAGTAAAAACTATTGTTTCATCCAAATTTATAGGATATAAAGACTAACCTGGATTATACGAATAGTAGAGGCTTTAGGTTCACAATCCACACCTTGACGTTCAAGCTTCTCAAATGTACCCACATCAACATGCTCGATCTCAACTATTAGAACTCCGCACGTAACTTTAATATTCAAATTAACTTGCAGAATAGTCAAAACAGCAAACATATATTTGACCAAAACAAAAAACCTTTTTCCAAATTCTTTAACGGTGACACTATCATCATAACTTCTCACCACATGATATGTGCTAATGTACTTGCCGGGCAATTCTCCATCGGGTCCAAGACAATCACTTTGAGTGCTATTTGGGATACTTCTTGACACAACATACGACCCAGCTGCCCTCCTCCCAAAGCACCTATAAACATATCAGACACTCCATGGATTGATGAACCACTGCATTATTCGACATATTCCAGCACGCTATTAACATTATTAACCAGAAAATACAATAGAACATCATTGCACTCACATAAAGTAATTAACTTTAATTTAAACTACATACAATAACAACTACACCACCTCAGTCCGAAACAAGTTCAGTTCGGCCTATGAATCCTTACTAACCATGTTTCTCCAATTAAAATCTGTTTAAATAAAACCACATAAACTTTAAACATATATTTATCCAAACAACAATAGGAAATAACCTGACCTGAATACAACAACAGTCAATTTATGTCCCAAATAAGGAGTTGGAGACCTAAGTCCAATATTGAAATTGTTGTCTAGCTACTAATTCGCCCGAGTTATCGTCAGCATCAGAAAGATATCTTAATCTTTTAAGAGCTTTTGTATTTATTTCTTTAGATCTATGCAAGTAGCATTTGAATGGTAAGATACAGAGTTTTGAACTACGCCTTCTATGCCTTTGAATGGTAAGATACAGAGTTTTGAACTACGCCTTCTATGCCTTTGAATGGTAAGATACAGAGTTTTGAACTACGCCTTCTATGCCTTTGAATGGTAAGATACAGAGTTTTGAACTACGCCTTCTATGCCTGTTTTTTAAGTCCCTGCATTTAACATTTTAGCCGTAAGGCATAAAGTTTTCAACTAATTTTGTTGGGCAGAGAAAGAGCGGATACCTGTTTTGTCAGATTTTGTCAAACTCTTCCTGGATGAAAGCTCGAATCATTGAAGAATTTTGTCAAGTACCTACCAGGAAAATGAAAAACAAAGGCGTCTCTAACAATTTACTGATACAGTAAGGCAACACATATAAGGAATATCACAAAGATATCAAGACTACAGCCTCTCTGTAATGTTGTAGAAACAATATTCTTTTAATCTTATTTTTTCACTTTGCTTCTTCACTATGTTCTACGCTCCTCACTTTTCCAACACATAACCGCACTACTAAAAGCATGGAAATCAATGATTTTATTCAAGTATCATCTTAACCACAGAACAACGAAACTCAATCAAACTATTATCAGAGAAAGCGAGTAGCAATTAAAAATATAAATTTAGGTCTTTTTCAATTGGAGTTACCACTCTTAACCACAGAACAACTAAAATTAACCAAACTTATTATTAGAGAAGCGAGTAGCAATTAGAAATACAAATTTAGGCCTTTTTCAAATAAATAACCAACAAAAAAAAAAATAAAGAGAAAGGACAATACACAGTGCAGGGTAAGCAGTTCACAGGTGTTGCGAGAGAAGGACCTAACCACAGAAATTGTCAATCGCTCAGTTGTAATGAAGAAGAAGCAGAAGATCAGAAGAAGGACAAGTGGACTGATATGTGTTCATAAATGGTGAAACTTATCGGAATCTCCTAGTATTTTAATAGGAGAAATTCGAAATGACCAAAATGCCCTAAAAGTGACAGCCAGGCTTGTTGATGATACAGGCTCCTGAAAGACCTAAACTCTCGCTTCTTATATAAGAGAACTAGTTACGATTAGCTCGGGTTATGCCCGGGCCCAATACCTACAATCAAATATTTTAGACTTAATTTCAAAAGTTTATTTTAAACACAAAGTCATGCATAATCAAATAATCATTATAAAATAGGACGGAGAGAGTATTGTATAATGCCAGTGCTGGCTTCATGATGAAGCAAGTAAGGCTCTCTCTTTAGACCCCCAAATTTAAGGGGCCATTTTTTAGCAATACTAAATTTATAAGTTTTTTTCTTAAAACAAGTATTAGACTTTCAAATTTCAATTTGCGAAACCGGACCCATTACAACCACGACCTGAATTACCGATCGGTAAAACTTATCGTAAATCAAAAATCTCTTAAATATCTTCTAGAACATGCAGAGAATTCTATTCATAAACCCGACATCATCTCTTAATGGGAAATCGTGCATTTCCCACACTTGTTATAGTGTAATTTATATCATATAAGCAGAAGTTTTGGAGGACAAGCTAATAGTTCAACGGTTCAAATATTTTAGTGTAAAAATATGAGATCATCAAATGACGGGAATTTAAAAAAATATTGCCTTAATCTTGAATGTTCCTTAAAATATAGTAGAAAAAGACATTTTTTTAAATACTTATATTTTTTATTAAATAATGCTAACAGTTCATGTAACAGTTGCCTCAGTGGAAACAAGTTTTTTAAAATTAATATTGATAAAATCTTATCCAAGATCAATAATTCTGAAGAAAAATTAAAAGAGTTGGCTATATTATCATTCGAAAAGAAATTTTGGAAGATATCGATAATTAAAAAAAATATTAATAATTTTGTATCTCAAAATTTAGAACAGTAGATTTTTGGAGAAAAATTATTTTTTATTTTTTAAATTTAAGGCCTCCGCTCTAAGGCCACTAAAGTGCTTGAGCCGCTCCTGTATCGTGGTGCAGTTACTCTAATCTCAGTAATATCAGTATTTTTATTTAATTAATTATAGTTAACATAGTAACATTTACTTCATGAGTTTTTGAGAGTGTAATTTCAAAATAATAGCAATAGTTCAACGTGGATAGAGTTAAAAGCAAATGTAACATTGATTTCATGTTGGACTTCTTAAGAAATTAATTGGAGAAGTAGGATAAATTTAATTTCTCTTTTTAGTATACTACTATACATTTCAAATCATATTTGCATGCAAGGAGCGAAAGTTTTGAAATCTTGTAGACGAAGCGTTTGGATTAATATTTGTGATTTTCTCAGTTATTGCCTGTTTGAGCTGGGTAGTTTCTAATTTTTGAAGATGTTATTCCTTTTTGTTGAGCTATAGACATATATATTGATTCACTCTAATTACATACAAAATTAAATTTTAATATAAGGTACCAAATAAGGCAACAATAGTTTACTTTTATTTGTAGAGAGTTAGGTTATAAAATGGTAAAATTAACTGGGGCCCGCATGACATGATTCATCAAATTAGTACATCCATTGACAAATAGGTGTGAAAAGATGTTCAGGTGGGGCCCATAAAGAAAAAGGTACTCACAATATTACACTTAGCACATCATATTGAAGCATGAAAATATGTTGAAATACCATAAATATCCCTGATGGGCAAGCTAGCATGTTGACGGAGAACTGCTAAACTCTCACTTAAAAGATAGTAGAAAATAGAAAATATATAAGGAATTTCAACAGCTCATTAAATCTTGCAAATATTAATATTTAGTGAATTTTTTAATTATATATTTAATTAAATCAACGCTATTGGATTCGAATGAATTAGTAATAACATATATATATATATTGTAGTTGTCATTGTATACATTTAGAAACTATTTAATTTTAGTTTGCTCAGTTTATTCTTAATAAGAAGCTTTATATCAAACAAATGTCACGATGTATTTAAAATAATCAATTTTAGAATTTTCATAATTATTGTTTATAATATTCTAAATCATAAATTTTAAAAATATTTCTTCATGTAAAAACTATACGGAATAAAACTATGTTATATAAATTAAAACAAATAAAGTAAATTAATAGCGTAAAAAAGAGTTATCTCTTCCGTCCCATTTTAGCTGCTTTATCTCAAAAAATTTGTTCCAAAATAGTTGTTATTTTAGAATTTCAAAGTTAAATTTTATTTTATTTTTAAATATACTCTTAATATTAAAAAAGTAGTTATTTTCTTAATATTATTTAATTTTTAAAAATAATTTAACAATTGTAACTTAATAAACTATATTTAATATTTATTACTCCCTCCGTTTTAATTTATGTGAATCTATTTAATTGGGTATGGAGTTTAAGAAAAGAGAGAAGACTGTTAAATTTGTAGTATAAAATAAGGCACATATATTTTATGTAATTATAATTATTATATAAAAATAAATTATTTTCAAATAAGGAAAGAGATCATTCTTTTTGATACGGACTAAAAAAAAATAGGTTCACATAAATTGAAACGTGACAGTATTAAGAGGTAAAGCAACAATTAAAACGAGTAAGACAGAGGGAGTATAGGGAGAAATTCGGGAAGATGCAGTTGCATGCGCTCGAAAAATTGTACAATTGACTCGTGTCTTCTCCATCTGCCAGCATTGTTATGGTGCAAGCCACCGCGTGTCTTTATCTTGTCCTTTTTTCGCCACGTACTTCCAACAACTGCTTCCTCACCAACCTAAATTCTTTATATATATATATCTCATGCAAACGTGACTCTGCACTGCATGAAAATTTCACAAAAGGCTTAAAACCTAAAATTCTGTTTTTCTAGGAGTTGTTGAAACAGAAACAATAATGGCTTCAGGGCAACAACAACAACAACGTTCAGAACTTGATGCAAGAGCTAGACAAGGAGAAACAGTGGTCCCTGGTGGCACTGGTGGCAAGAGCCTTGAAGCTCAGGAGCATCTTGCTGAAGGTTAAGCTTAACTAGATCTTCTACCCTTTTTTATTTGTATGTGAACCTTTTTTTTTTTTTTTTTTGGCCTGCTCTCCTTCTGTATTTGAAAAGAAATTTGTTTTAAATTGGTATTTTACGTTAAGGAGATGGTCTTACAGCTATCTTTTAGGATCACAAATCGGCAAGATATAGTCTGTTCTTATTCAATAGTATTTAAAAAAAATTTACTTTTAAATTTTTTATTTTACCCTGGCATATCATTTTAAATCACAAAGCCACAACATTTAATTATAGATCTAAGATGCGTCAAAAGTTTTTTCCTTCCTTAAATAGCAAAAAAAGAAATGTAAAGTATAATAGACGGAAACATGTTTTTCACTTGCAGCCTTGATGCTATTCCATAGGATAAACACGTAAATCATTTTTTTCTGATAATGGCGGCGGTGAGAGTTGAATTCAGAATTTTTATCTGTTTTCGTACTTTGTGTTTAAAAGTTTAAGCTGTTAACTAGATGCACTCCACCTACTTATTGGCTCTTTTCTCGTTTGGCTAATGAGGTTTGATTTTGTTGAATTGAATGAAGGGAGGAGCAGAGGAGGGCAAACAAGAAAGGAGCAGCTAGGAACAGAAGGGTACCAAGAGCTGGGACAAAAAGGAGGACAGACAAGGAAAGAGCAAATAGGGAGAGAAGGGTACCAAGAAATGGGTCGAAAAGGTGGACTTAGTACAACTGAGAAATCTGGTGGTGAACGTGCTGCTGAAGAAGGCGTTGACATTGATGAATCCAAGTTTAGTACCTCTTAAAATGTTTTTGGAGTATATGGTCTTGTAGTTAAAGCTGTTTTATGTATTACTGAGTTGTGTCTGGTTTTTTGCCGAGTCTGGTCCTAGACGATTAGGTATAGTAGCTTTTGGTGTGTGTCTTAGTTCTGTAAAAATATGTTGTGCCTTATGTAAGGGGTCACGTTATCCCTAGTCTGTAGGGTCTATTACTAATGGATGAAGTTTAATTTCTGGTTTGTTGTTTGCTTTTGTCAAAAATTATGTAAAACTTTAGAATCTTCAATCTTGGATGTGATGCTTATCTCGCAAAAGTTGGAAGGGAGCGGTAACTATTGTGCTCGATGTGCGCTAGCATAAATAGATGAAAAACGAAGGGAGAGAAATCTAAGTGAATTATGAAGTGATTACTTATTTGATAATACACTTGAGAGTCTTTTGTAACTAATGGGAATTTATTACAAGCGAATAATTGGTCTCAAGTAGTTTTAATCCTTAAAATGAGTAATAATTAAATTTTAAATTTGTACATGGCTCGTTTTAATTTAATTCGTATGTTCAAAGAACAAGCAAAATGATTAAATTAAATGTGATTGAAATAATTATGCCTGACGTTAAGCTTGAACGAAGCTTAGTTGTAACTCAATGGAGGAACACTTGAACAATTGCTAAAGCACAAAAGGACAAAATTAAACTTTATCGCTTTGATATTTACTACACTTGAACAATTGCTAAAGCACAAAAGGACAAAATTAAACTTTATCGCTTTGATATTTACTACACTTGAACAATTGCTAAAGCACAAAAGGACAAAATTAAACTTTATCGCTTTGATATTTACTTTGATATGCGTCTCGTAATGTTCTCTCTTTTATATATTAGAAGAGTTTCTACGTTCAAGCTTGGTTGTAACTGAAATGTTCTCTCTTTATATATCAGAAGAGTTTCGTCCTTCAAGCTTGGTTGTAACTGAATGGATGAACACTTGAACAATTGTTAAATTTATTGCTTTGATATGTGTGCCGATAGTGAACCAACTGAATACAAAGGTTTCCCACTTTATATAGTAGAGGAGTTTTAACCTAATATAAATTTTTCTCTTTATATAGTAGAGGAGTTTCAACCTAATACAAATTTAAATAAGGTAAAAATCTTTTCTTTCTTTTTTCATCAAGAAAACACGATTCGCCAAATATCGGACGTGATTCGTGTCGTAATATCCTGCTGATGGCGGATATTTGGGCTCCTCATTTGCCTTCTTTAATTGTCTTTCATTTAA